GGGGGGGGGGGCAGACACAGAGGAGAAAGAGCACTCCTGCTGCTTGGCACGCAACGGCGATTTGCGAATCCCCAAAATATGACAAAATGGTCCACGTGCGGGATGAGGGTGGAGGAGACGTCTGCCCCTAATCTGGCTATTTATGAAGGCTCTATATTTCAGGTCGGTGTCGCCAAATGTGTTGCTGTAAATACCAATTTATTTATTCTCCCCTGTTACTGTGTGCCTCTTTTTTTTATATCACGCCTTTTGATTTTGTCCGCTTGCGCGCGCATCCTCTGGATCGCTGTGCCACTCCACCACTGCAACGGACGGCTGCAACTCCATCCTTATCCCCCGGTGCTCTCGGCGGCAGCAGAAGATCGCTCCTCGCACTTCTATACTTTTCGCAACTTTTCCCCTAACGAGCGCGCTCCGCCCTCCCCTGGAAAGAGCAGGCGAATAAAACAAGGAGGACCATCCAAAAGCTGGGAGGCGGGCGGGCGCGCGCGGGCGCGGGCGGGCGGGCTCGCGCAGGGCCGAGCTGTGCTGCCAAATGAAGCCCGTCTGTCAATAGTCGCTGCTGCTGCTTTGCCTTCGCCTGCCCCGCTCAAAACGCCTTATTCAGCGTCTCTCATTTCAGGGATTAGGCAACTGTATCCGCTGCGGCCTGCGGGCCCGCCCCGCCCGCCCCGCCCCGCCCCACCACGCAGCGCCACGACGCCCTGCCATTGTCTGACGATGACGTTTTATGATATTCCATTCTTGGAGTTTGTTTTCTGCCCCCCTTGCTCTCACTCTGCTGTTCCTTTGATTCGGGTGGGCGCATAGAGGGGCAGGTAAGTGCGAGCGCGTAGTGTTGTGGCCAACTACTGTGAGGTAATTCGAGGAGGCTATGAGACCGTTTAGATATCCACCCCGATACGCGCCGACACGCGGGGGACCCTCGTATCTCCCCGTCGAGCGCCGCTCAGTTGCGGTGCTCTTCCCGGCCGATGAGTTCTCAGGTTTCCCGAGGGGCGTCAGAGTTGAAAAACGCAACGAGCGCGGCAGGGATAGGTGTCGATATGGGTCACTTCTCGGAGGTCACATGCTACACTAGTCTATCAAAAGGAAAGACTTATTTTGCGTGTGGCGAGGGGATGGCGGATGGATGGGGAGGCAGGACGAAATGTTCTCGCTATGCGCGAGGAGATACGTTTCCCCCCCGCCGAACCCTTTTTCTTCGGCTGTCGCGTCGTGTGCCCTTGGGCTCAGGCTGGTGTTTACCTCCACGGGGCCGCCCTCCTCTCGGGGCGCCACCCGCGCTACCCCGCCCCGCCCCGCCCCGCGAACGCCCCTGCATCCCCTGACGTAA